CTGTGTTACACACTGCATGAAAGGTAATTTTCAAAAATCCATAATAGGGGCACTTTAATGATTAGATTCACGTTAGTCAGATCTTGTGTTAGTGTTCTCCACTACATGTCACCCTCTTATTTACCTTGCGCGATGTTATAACGGAAAGCCTGTCAATCATTCAGTGCTTATCATGGCAGAGATACTGTTGACAAGAACCAAGAACAAAGCAATATGCATAATTTGCAATGCTCAGGTGAAATGCTATAGTAATATTACAAATCTGTGGAAGTATTTGACATCACACGTAAAGACGCCATGATTTCCGCAATGAATGAATGAATGAATGGTGGATGGTGCAGCGCACTCTTTTGTTTACTACACGCATACTAAAGCGCGGACGATGCTCGCTGTGTTTTCAGCCTCTGTTGTCTCACTATGATGATATGAATACATGAATATCATCTCCAGTTGCTCTGAGAGTCAATTCATTAGCATTTTACCGTTTAATTTGAGAAAACTACCGTCATATCACATACACAGCAGCTGCAAGTTCCTCACGGCAACCCGTCAAAATAAAAGTTTAGTTTAACGTGAAGAAACGGTGTCAGAAATATATGACTATTTAGCAGTCTTAAGACTCAATGTAACAACAATGCTACTATTACTACTACTACTACTAATAAATCTTTATTTTTAAAGAAATAATCACATTTGTTTTCTTTTTCATTTTAGGAGTAAACCTCTGTTGTGCAGCACTTTGTTTGCCAAAAATAAAAGGGTTTAATTTTAATTTGATTAGGATCAATTAAATTGATATTTTATGGCTTCATCTGATTACCAGAAAAATTAAGAAGAACATTTTATAGGGCCCTATTATTGTTTAAAAAGGTTTAAAAATACAGGCCTGTGGCTCTTAATTTCTTTTTATTAACTCACCATTTTTTATTTACTCATAATGTTCATGTTTTAGAAATATCAATAGCATTTGTATTAAAACTATATTCACTGAATGGAATAAAAAAAAATCGAGAATCAAACCAAGAATCGAATCGAGAGCTTGTGAATAGAAATCGAATCGGGACATCTGAATCGATACCCAGCCCTAAAATATTAAGATCTTTTTCAAAGCATCATATTGTAAAATTCAGGGATCAACATTAAAGATGGTGAGAGTATTTCATACCAGTTAACAGAACTGTAATTTATTTTAAATTAAACAATATACAAAAAAAAAGAAGAAGAAATATACTTAATATAAATAAATAAATAAAATATTTTATACTGAATACTAAACACTATATTATATACTAAATATATAACAAATATACTATTATATAAAATATTAAGTATCATACTGTATATATACACAGTTGTGGTTAAAATTATTAGAACACTTGTTTTAATCAAAAAAGGTTACGGACTGTAGCTTTAATATAGATTAAATTTAAACTAAGATTTCAGTAATATAAGAAATAAAAATTATAGAATCATATGTATTAAACAACATGACTGACCTAATTATGGTGTAAATCCATAAAATCCAATAAAATATACTTCTTTCCACTACATAAAAAAATAAGAACCTTTTCATTGCTTTTTTTGAGCAATGAAAATGTATAACTTACTGATTAATTTGATTAAATTAAGGGTTTAGTAATAATATAATACAATATAATATATCAAGGACACAGAATTACTTTGTTGCCATATTGCATTTTCCATTTAGATAGATTTTGATCTACAGCCAGATTTTAAGGTCACAACATGGTGATGAAAGGTTATAAAACCAAATATGGTATCACAAAACCACTCATAACTCATCCACTAATGGTTATCATAACTCATTCCTCCCCACCCTACTTGACTTCAGTGGAAACCAGACAGCTATGAAGTTAAGTCTCATAAATTAAAGTCTGAATTATCAAATCCAAGTTATATCCATTCCCATATAAGAACAAAAGAATGAGCTGGCTAACGCCCATACTATACCCATACACTTGTTCAAACATGTCAGCATAGGATTTCTCACTGAAACAAGTTTCACAGCTAGTATTGAGTATATATATATATATAATTTTTGAGACACATTTGGTGTGTGCAATGCAAAATGTTAAACAAAGCACATTTTGCTGCAGTATACAGCTAAATGTTCCTCTGGAGAAAGGTCTTTTTGGAAATAAAAATCAGATCAGATCCGTATTAGCAGTAAAAAAATTTAAAAAATATAAAAAAAGTAACTGTCTGAACTGACACATTAGGTATATTTCATTAGGTATATTAGGCAATACATGAAGTACCAATAAACAATCATACAACGTGAAATGCCAATGCATTTAAATCTACTCAAAAAAAAATCAAAGTGGCCACTCACAGCGATGAATATCCCACTCGGCCCGTTGAAATTATCAATCCAGCCCTTTAACAGAGTGGAAAAGAAAGAGCGGTGCTCAAAATCCAGGCAGTATTTTTTTTTTTATTAGGTGGGAGGATGGAAATGAACATGCTTACGGGGAACGGCTCCTTCCAGCTGGCTCCCACTATCGAGGGCCTGATGATGGCGACGTTGAGGTTTCCACACTCCTGCTGGATGAGCTGTTCTGCCAAGGCTTTAGTGTACGTGTATGTGTTAGGCCGCTCACCTAACAGCTTTGGTGTCATTAAAGAGACCAGTTTGTCGTCCATCCACCTGTAAGTGTCGCACAAATCCAGGAAGTTGAGGAAGACCCAAAAAAAAAGAAAAAAAAAAAAGAGGGTTTCATTTAGTTAATCCTGCTTGGAATAGCTTCAATATTCATTGTGTTATTTTCTTATTTCTGAGCTGTTTTGTAGTTAGTTATGTTTGTTTGTAAGTATGTACGTTCAGTATGTTTTATAGGCACAATATGTAAGTTTTCACCGCTAGAGGGTGCGTATTCAAAACAAACAAAGAAAAGGCGTAGTTTGATGACGCCGTGACTGAGTGTGGAATCATGGGAGTTGTCGTCTTTATCCCCACAGCCGATGCAATCTGACGGGACTCGGGCAGAAATCATGTTCATGGATGAGCTAATGTATTAAAGATTTATTAACGTAGTAGAATGAAGCAGGGTGAGGCTGAAAGCAGTCGAAGCGAAACGAGACCACTGAACGAGCGTGACACACGGCTCGAAAGCAGCAGAGCTTTTATTATGCCACAGTCGACTGCTTCCACTCCTTCTGTATGCGTATCCGTATCCTATCCTTGAGTATGTGGGGTAAAGCAGCGCTGTTTTATCATACTAGATACGTTTGAAAGTTCTGTTATAATGCTACTCTGTGCGGTCGTCACCTGTGTAATAAAACGCATAACATATTAAAGCGTTTTTGGTGTTTCCGGAAATCGAGGGTATATGACGTCATTGGTAGGCGACGCAATGACCAGGGACAAGCCACTATTTAAAATGGCTATTTCTCTGGAACATTCTTCAGAACATTTGGGATAATACAAGTATACAAGTCAGCAATATATATATAACACTGTTCTAGTGATTTTGGGATATTTTAATAAAAGAATCTTACATATTGTGCCTTTAACAGGTTTAGTATGTTTTTATTTACGCAAACACACACACACACACACCATATATATATATATATATATATATATAAAATATCGATAAAAATATATTTATATTAAACATTTATATAAAAAAAAGATTAAATCTATTATGTAAAAAATTCCAAAGATTAAAATATAAAAACAAACATCATACATATATATGCATATTATATAAAGAGTTCAGATGCAAAAGCCTCTAAGTGCCGTTTGAAATTTTCTTCTAAAATTAGCATTTTTATCAGGCATTTACATTGTTATTTCACTTTAATGGCAATGAAAAGAACCTATTCTCATTTTAGAAGAAAAGCGGCTTTTGCATCTGAACTATGCAAATATACACACACTTGTATGTATGTATGTATGTGTATATATATATATATATATATATATATATATATACACATACATACATACATAC